ATCACCGTTGATTCGATTGTCAAAATAGTATCGAGTTCCCGATACAACGTAGCCTCCTGTATTGATCAGATAATAGTTTAAGCAGCAGGAGTGAAAAAGGTACTTTCCTTCCCCAGCTTTAGAGGTTGTGAGGTAGGGCATTATTAGAATCACCCGAATTTCAAGTTTTATTTAAATTTTTATTTGATAGTGCTTTGGAGGTTGTGAGGTAGGGCATTATTAGAATTACCCGAATTTCAAGTTTTATTTGAATTTTTATTTGATAGGCAGCCGAAAGCTCTCGGAAAGATTTTTTGCTTGTCATAAACTCAGAAGCGATGCTGGATATAGAATACTTGTGGATTTCGAATAATCGTAAATTGAAGAAACGTTCAATTGGCTATAACAACAGCTTAAAAAAATACTATTTTTTGACTTTATTCTTTTTTTATATTCATTAACTCAATAGATTCTGAAGCGTACAACGAATGTGGAATTAGATTTAAAATGAATAGCAGCAGATTATTTCGTTGTTTTCGAAATATGAGCAAGACTTCATGCTCACCTTGCTCCCGTTTGATCGTTACGAAGTTTTCGAATTGATCTGCTTCCGGCTTGGTATTTCCTTCTCTGTGGAAATTCGTCGACGGTTTTGGCTTGGGCGGAATGGCCACTTCGTTTATTTCTTGTATCTTTTCCTCTGCATCAATAACATCCTCAGGGACGTAGAACATCCCTTGGAATAACGATTTCTTCAACCTGAAATTATCGATGAAATACTTCCGCGAAGGGCGTATGAGCTGAGGTTCCAAACTTGCCCTGGTTGAATTTGACTTTTCGTTGTTGCTTTCAAAGGCGGCGTCCTTGTGGGTAGATCTGGTTCTCGTTGAGTTGTTGTTTGATAGTTTCCAGACCAGTCGATATTATTTTCTAAAAAGTAGGGAATAACTGCATAGCTCCTCTTGTTCTGCCAATTGTTCCCACCATGCAACCTGGACAAGGGCTAGGGACCCTCACAATCCGCTGGATCATTCACATTTTCTGCAGTAAATATTTTGATCAATGAAGTAAATCGATAAGTGCTCATGTTTGTTTATCAAGCCAGAATTTAGAGAGGTTCAATATTCGAATCAATCAATTCTGTGAAACTCAACTGGTATTCAGCTAAATTTCAAAATTCACTTTTATTCTTGGATTCTCCCTTTTTACTTCCTTCTACAGCATCTGGATTAACCCCGGCTCATTGGCACTGTACCTCACCAGTGTAACCAAGGTCTATATTTACCGGACATGCCCACTTTCCCTTCATCTTCTTCCCATCTCCCTCTAACCTAGGAATCTAATAGTACATAAAACAGTGCCCTTGTCCCTAAATCTTGGCCATAAGATTGAAATTTAAGAACGAAAGAAATCTTTCGTTTGAATCGTTCGCGGCGTGATCTTGTAAAGACTCAGGGATATGGTTCTCCGGACTGTTTTCAGCTGTCGTTACGACCGTACTCCCTCAATGGCGAGAGCAAGCCGCGTCTCGGTAGGGTAATGAATAAGGAGCACGGTGTAAGGAAAGCTCAAGTACAAGTTCGAGCACGTCCGAGGCCAAAGTTCACAATCTTTGCTTGAAAGATTGTTATCGGTTTTGTGGCGTAAGTTCTTGTTCTGGATCCTATCGACCTGCCCATCTCCCTCTGTGAGACAGAGCAGATTTGTCAATAGAATCAATTCGGAAGTGAATCAATTTTGGAAACGCCTAACACTAACGTCTATGGCGCAGGTTCTTCTTCCACTCATCATAAGGAAGCGTATACTCTCAAAAAATTCCAGTACCTACCTTGGTAAGGAGTCGGAGTAGGTGTGAGTGTTTCTATCAGAGCTTTCTGTGGAGTGTACATTGAAGCTGACGAATCCAGCGGAATCGCCTGATGCTGCTGACGGTTAAGATCCTGCTCTTCTTCATTGCTACTGAGTTTCTCTATTTCCGTCTGGATGACTGCTTTATCGGCCTGGGCCAACGAATTCAGTAACGACTCAGTCACAGCGAATGGTT